GCACTGGCCCCTCCTGTCCCCACAACTACAGGCCACAGAGTTGACACCCCACCCACCCCGACCCCAGGTCCCGCCCTGGCTGGCCACAGACTCAGCTCCACCCCAGTCAGGGGAACTGAGACCCTAAAGCTGGAGTCTGACCCTCCTATAGCCCAGCTGCCCTGGACAGCTGCCCGAGCCCAGTGCTGCTCCTTCCCTGTCCTCCGCCCCGCGCTCGCACCCCAAGGCTGCCCTGTCTCCCCCAGGTACGCCCCGGAGTCCCTCTCGGACAACATCTTCTCGCGCCAGTCGGATGTCTGGAGCTTTGGGGTTGTCCTGTACGAGCTGTTCACCTACAGCGACAAGAGCTGCAGCCCCTCCGCTGTGAGTCAGCGCCCTGAGCCCCTCGCACCCTCCTTCTCCCACCCCCTCGCTGTGGCTGACCGCCTCCCCTCAGGCAGCCCCCTGCATCACAGAGGACCCCTCCCCGACCCCCACCAGCAGCGAGCCCTTCCTCCTTTCAGGATGGCTTACTCCCTAGTCATCTGCCCCCTTCTTCCCCTCCATCACCTGAGTTCCCTCTGGCCCCAGGAGTTCCTGCGGATGATGGGATGTGAGCGAGATGTCCCCGCTCTCTGCCGCCTCTTGGACCTGCTGGCCGAGGGCCAGAGGCTGCCTGCACCTCCAGCCTGCCCTGGTGAGGTGAGTGTTTGCAAGAACTGACTCAGTTTCCCACGCTAGGGTCTTGGGCAAGCCCACCGGCCCCTCTGAGTCTCTCATTGTCTCTTGGTTGAACTCATGGGGCGTGAGGCTGAGCAATTTCAGAGCCACAGTTTGCCCAAATCCAAAATGGAAATAGCAGTGGCTTACGGGATGGGAAGGCCCCGCACACAGTTGGCTCTCAATAACATGGAAGGAACTCTTAGGTTTATCATCACAACTTTGTTGTTGTTGTTAGTCCTCACCAGAGGAAATGTTTTCCATTGATTTTTAGAGAGAGTGGAAGGAAGGGAGGGAGGGAGGGGGAAAGAGAAAGAGAGAGAGAGACATCAATGTGAAAGAGACACATCAATTGATTGCCTCCCATGCTTGCACCCCAGCGGGGCAGGAATCAAACCTGCAATCCAGGTACACTTCCTGGACCAGGAATTGATCCCATGACCCTTTGGTGTGTGGGTCAACACTCTAACCATTGAGCAACACCAGCCAGGGCTATCATCACAACTTTTGTGAGAGTTTCTGCCATGCAGTTGGTCATTCATAAATTAATTGGTTTGGGCCACAAATATGGAGCTACGACTGTATGCGGATGCTGGGGACTCAGCAGGGTCCTCCCAGGAACCAGCAGAAACTAACAAAAACATTCCGGTGGGTCCCTGGCCTGTGTGGCTCAGTTGGTTGGGCAAGATCCTGTGCACAGAAAGGTTGCTGCTTCAATTCCGGGGTCAGGGCACATGCCCAGGCTGCAGGCTTGATCCCTAGTAGGGAGCGTGCAGGAGGCGGCCAAATGATGTTTCTCCCTCTTCCTTCCTCTCAATCTAAAAATCGATACAAATATTTTTAAAAAAGAAAACCATTCTGGTGAGAAAGAGATGAACAGGGGAGGTGATCAGGGAGGGGTAGTCAGGGAGGACCTCTTAGAGGAGGTGATACCTAGAGGAGCAGCCCATCCATGGGGACAGCTGGCAGAGGGCTTTCTCAGTGGAGGATACGGCAGCTGTTAAAGGCCCTGAGGTAGGAATGAGCTTGGTGCGTTTAAGTAATGATGTGGCTGATGGAAGAAGGAAGGAGGTAATGGAGGGAAGGAGGCAGGGGAAGGGTGAGGTTTTGTTCTCAGACCCGCAGGGAGCCATGGAGGCTTTGGAGCAGGGGAGGGATGGAGTCTAAGTATATTTTAGAACAAGATTCATGTCCTTCCTACCACTCCCATGTGACTCTGTTGTCTTCCCCTCCCCCTCCCAACCCCCAGGTTCATGAGCTCATGAAGCTGTGCTGGGCTCCTAGCCCACAAGACCGACCATCCTTCAGCACCCTGGGCCCCCAGCTGGAGGCGCTGTGGAGTGGAAGTCGGGGGTAGCGCGCACCTTCCCTGCTTGTCCGGAGGGAGACCCTCACTCACTGTCGTTTTTATATCTCCCGCACCTCTGGGTCCTTGTCTCAATGGACTGGCCTCGCGAGTTTGGGCAAGACGCTGCTCCTCTCTAGGCCACCGGCTTAGAGTCTAATGACATTGCATGTGGGGGCGTCCCTGGCTTGTGGAGCAACGGCAGCTTCGTGGCCTTTGGAACTTTGTAAAAATTCAAGCCAGATGGCTCTATGGGGCCACTGAGCCCTGCTCCCAGAGGGGAGGGGCCACATTTAAGCTCCTCCCATTGCCCCAGCTTCTCAGAGGATGCCTTTGCATCTAGCCTCCAGCAGGGACTTTGTGTAGCTTTCAATATATGATCTCAGGCTTCTGTTCGCCCATCCTGCTCTCACCGGAGGAAGCCAAGGACAAGAGCAGCTGCTCTGGTTGGAAACTCACCTTTTGGGAGAGCAAGGGTGACTGGGACTATGTCAAGGGCCAGGGGACGCTGGGGTCCCAGTCCACCCTAACTGTACCCCGGGGCTTGTTTCCCCACCGGTATACTGGGGCCTTTCTCTCTTGACCAGAGGGTTACACACTGATGACTCTGAAAAGGCTGACAGGAGCTTTTCAGCAACTGAGGGAGGGAAAGGCATTCTTGGCAGAGGGAACATCATGGTGACGGTGAGGAGGCTCAGAGTACAGAGTTTGTTGGAGCCACTTTTTTGCTGTGTGACAGAGGGCAAGTTGCTTGCCCTCTCTGGGCCCCAGTCCCATATGCTGGCCCCTCAGCGGTGCAGAGTCCACTTGTGGAGGCTTGTGCAGGTTAAGCCCCACCAAACCTTCTCACCTGCCTGCAAGGCTTCCCTGCCACTTAGCCCCCCTGGAAAACTTGCATTCATCTCTCAAACCCCAGCTATCAATCACCTCCCTGTAGCCTTCCTTGGTGTGCTCCCGCCACACCCCGCAAGGCCTGTCCTTCCTTCTGACCATAGGGCTGGGGTGCCGCCTGTGTCCAGCTGTCTCTTCTGACCTGGAGGCTCCATGGGGGCTGGGTAGGGAGGGCACAGAGGGGACTCTGGGACGTGTTTGTTGAATGAGTAAAGGAGTTCAGTGGAAGGGATGGTTTGTTGCTGGACTTGGGTGATGGGGAACCTTGAGGAGGGACTATCAGGGGAGAAGTGTGGTTAGGGCTGGGGGGGATAGAGACTCCTGAAGGGCGCAGGGGGGGCCTTGGGATCGGCTGCAGGAGGAGACACGGCAGGGTAGGGCATTGGCGGGGGCCCTGGAGGACAAGCCCTCCCCCAGCCCCAGCTGCTGGCCTCGCTCTGTCCTGGGAGCTGATTACAGGCTTTGGGAGGGGGGAGGGAACAGGCTGTTCTGCGTGGGTCAGAGGGGAAGGCCCGGTTGGAAGAGCTAGGCTGTGGGGAGGGGTTCGACGTCAGGCGGGCCGAGCTAGTCCCCTGTGTGCTCCTCAGGACTGCTGGGAGGACATGGAGAATGACAGAGAGAGGGAGAGGGAGGGAGGGAGGGAGACAAAGACGGAGCCCTCTCAGCCCAGGAAGAGCCACCTGCTTTGGTGAAAAGTGCGGAGAGAGTCGGGGTTGTAGGGCTGCTTTAAACTCGAGCAAGACCAGCTCTTTGGCTCAGGCTCTCTCTGCTGTAGCTTCCGTTCTTGGTAAAACAGGGTCCTACGGCCTCCCGGGCACCAGGGTGCCACCCAGTAGGTGCTGAGCAAAAGCAGCAACACTTGTCTGGGCCCTTCAGTCCCTGCCCAGCCCAAGGGGACCCTAATGTGAGAGAGGCAGAGCAAGCCAGCACCCCCATCCCGGGCCCAGCCTCCTGCGACCTTGGGCAAGTGAGGGGTCTGCTTTCCGAGCCTGTTTCCTCATGTGCACCCTCCTAACAAGACCCCAGATATCCCCGGTCTCAGCTGGCTGAGCGCCCCCCCACCCCATGACATTATTTCTCAGTTTATCTATTTCACTTCTTTCAAACAGTTAAGAATGACAATAAAGACTCCTCAGCCAGCAGTCCACGTGAGGTGGGGACACCCAAGGCCCTGCCCAGGGAGAGAGACCCCTTGCCGTTTCATGTCCCTCTCAGCCAATCAATAACCAGCGCGGTGGCTGGACCAGCCCCTGAGCTCATTTCGAGTACAAGACGCCATCAGTCACCATCCGGGAACTCTGAGAAAATAAAGGTTTATTATTTACTTAGAACCTGGAAATGACACAACACCCGTGGGGCCACACAGCCCAGCAGCAGGTGGAGGGAGAGCATGGTCAGGGCTGGGGTTCTGCTTTGATTGGCTCTGAGGATGGGGGCCTAACGTGAGAGTGGTCATTTAAAGCATCAAAGAGGAAAAGCAAGGGGCCCAAACGGCCAGTTACCAGAATCAACCTAGATCTCAGACAGGAGCCTCGCGGGGAAGGGCGCCTGCGTTTCATAGCTGCTGGGCGGAGATGGCCGTCATGGGGGTGGCCGCCTCCACAATCAACGCTTCATGGAGTCAGGCGCTAGCATTACAACAGAGAACACAGCGTCAGGGCTCACGCTGGATTCACCCTGACCCTGACCCTGACCCTCTCCCATGCCTCCCCCTCCTCCAAGGCCCCCAGCTGGGCCGGCGGGGAGCTATAAGCCGGGTGCCCGCTGGGCTCAGGCGCTTCCCGCCGCCATGGACCCCCGCCCGCTCCCCTGGGCGCTGGTGCTGCTGAGTTCGGCCCTGGTCGTGACGCTGGGCCGCGCGCCCACCCCGGAGGGGCCGGAGAAGCTGTGTGGCCACCATTTCGTCCGCGCGCTGGTGCGCGTGTGTGGGGGCCCGCGCTGGTCCCCCGAGGCCGGGCGGCCAGTGGCTGGCGGAGACCGTAAGTGGGCAGGCAGGGCCGTGTTCCTGGGTTTCTCA